CCTTCCCTTCAGTCTTGCACAGTTTGACATTTGCATAACTCCGCCCACTGCTTGCCTCGGGCCTTCCCTTCAGTCTTGCACAGTTTGACATTTGCATAACTCCGCCCACTGCTTGCCTCGGGCCTTCCCTTCAGTCTTGCACAGTTTGACATTTGCATAACTCCGCCCACTGTTTGCCTCAGTGCAGAGTGCTGGGATGTTCTCTATGTACTGGCCCCTCCCACTCACCATTATCTGACCCACTGATGACATCATGCGGTTGATGAGGGGAGGAGCCAGCGAAGGTCAAATATACCTAATATCTCCGCTCTGTCCCCAGGTTTCGTCATCTGCTGGTTCTGCCCTCTGGTCACGCCCCCAACCTCGGGGGGGCCGGCGTACAGCTACCTCCCGGACTACGACGTATAGTGGTCGCCGTGGGCGGAGCCTCACCCGTCCGAAAACTCAGACCGCCTCCTCCAAGCTGCTGTCTCCACCTCCCTCTACGGCCGGAGTGTCGGCTCTGTCTCTGGGCAGCCACCAATGGTCAGTATAATAGGGGGGAGGCGGCTCTAGTGGACTCCGCCCCCTCCCCGCGACCCGTCTGGTCTTTGCACTGCGTGACGTCACGCCACCGAATACCTGTTACCGAAAAAACTGCTGAAGCCGAATCGCGATCGTCCAGTTTCGGGCACCTGCGGCATCGTGAATTCCTGAATCCCACCACCCGCGCCAGGCAGGGGGAGTCTCACACCTTCCGCTGCAGATTTAAAGGGACGTTTTCTAATGGGAATGTCAGTGTCCGGGTGGAGTGACCCTTTAATTTCTTCCTGTGGTTTGTGCAATTCTGTTTTTATTCCCCCTCTGCGCCCTCTGGACGCGGTCACCTCCCACGCACATGAAAGGAGGCGGGACCAGCAGCAAAAAACCCCTGGAGGGCGGAGTTCATGAGGAGATCACCAATGGCATGGTAAGACAGAGTTTTAGGTGGGTGTGGTCAGTTCACAGCCTGCGGCCAGGGGGGCGACGATCCCTATAATGGCATTATTATTATTATTAGAGGCACTTTCGTGGCCAGAAAAATGGAAACCCCCTTTTGGCTCTTTTAACCCTTTCCTGAGTCAGTCGGCCATCTTGGACTTGGACCCGAGATTTCCTGGACAGGACAACGGATCGGATCATTCAGGAGATTACTTTTTAATTGGTTTTTAATGTTATTTATTTTTTTAGCTCGGCACTCAGGGAATGCTAAACTGTCCCCTCAGTGTTATTTTATGTCATCTCAGCATGCCCTGAGTGCCGTTCTAGCAGCTTGATGGATCCGGGCCGTTGTGTATTCCAGGACTGGTCCTTGTTCCGGCCGTGACCGTCTCCTGTACTATGTCTGCAGTCTCTGACCGTCTCCTGTACCATGTCTGCAGTCTCTGACCGTCTCCTGTACTATGCCTGCAGTCTCTGACCGTCTCCTGTACCATGTCTGCAGTCTCTGACCGTCTCCTGTACCATGTCTGCAGTCTCTGACCATCTCCTGTAGTATGTCTGCAGTCTCTGACCATCTCCTGTAGTATGTCTGCAGTCTCTGACCATCTCCTGTACCATGTCTGCAGTCTCTGACCGTCTCCTGTACTATGTCTGCAGTCTCTGACCATCTCCTGTACCATGTCTGCAGTCTCTGACCGTCTCCTGTAGTATGTCTGCAGTCCCTGACCGTCTCCTGTAGTATGTCTGCAGTCTCTGACCGACTCCTGTACCATGTCTGCAGTCTCTGACCGTCTCCTGTACCATGTCTGCAGTCTCTGACCGTCTCCTGTAGTATGTCTGCAGTCTCTGACCGTCTCCTGTACCATTTCTGCAGTCTCTGACCATCTCCTGTACCATGTCTGCAGTCTCTGACCGTCTCCTGTACCACGTCTGCAGTCTCTGACAGCTTTCTGTAGCATTACTATACCTGAATATTATGTGTGGCCCTTTTGGTAATGTCAGGGGCCACACTTGGGGCTCCCTATTGGAAGACGCGGTCTCTTCTGCCGGGGTTTCCGTGTTTCTGGCCGCTCTGGGTATTGCGGGTTACAATGAGGTCGGGGGTGGGGCGTCTTATTTTCTGTATATTTTGTCTTAAATTATTTGATGTCATTTCCCTTTAATTGGCGTGCGGTTGAGGGAGGTCATGTGACCGGCTGCTCATAGGTCAAAGGTCAAGGAGAGAACTACACGTCCAGCCCATTGCCGGTTCCCACGGCCGCCATGATGCTCCTCCTCCGGCTTCGGTACATTTGTTTCTTTCTTACTGGAGACAATAGAAGCGGCCGTGTTTCTCTGCGCAGGTCTCCTTCACAATGCTGCCTGCTCATTGGCTAGAAGCTAGTGACATCACAGAAGCACTGAGTCCCCTCCCCCCTCCATGTCGCGTGCTCCTAGCCAATGAGAAGCCTCGATCGTGTGACACCCCCAAACGGTTGTTTGCTGTGAAGGAGAAGTCTGTCTGAAGTTGGTGCTTCGGTTACAGGAGGAGGACTCTGGCCAGCAGAAGCACCCATTGGCTGCTCGTGTCAGTCTGGGACCGCCCCCGAGGGTCCGGCTCGGCTGGATTTACCTTTTGCTTCTGTTACGCCGCGGAGCCGGGACCGTCGGGAAGGAAGAACTCATCATCTGAGGGATGTGGCGATACGGGGTGGGGGGTGGATGAGCATGCCAAATTCCGCCACATACTGGTGTCACCCCCCTCCCCCCATTGTGGGAGGGGGGTGACACCACTATGTGGCTCTGTAATGGACACGGCTGTGTATACTGGGAATTGTTATGGGGGAGTCTCGCTGCCACCGGCTATAGGAAACTGGAACTGGATTGAACTTTCCGGCAACCCTTCATAACTGGTGGAGTTGTCCTTTAAGAGAAATTCCCAGCATGCTCTCCTAGGAATATCAAACACAGCTGACAACATCAAATGGTGCAATACATCCCGTTGTCACTCCTCGGCCTGTCTCTGCCATTGGACGGCGGCTTTCTGGTATAAAAGTTAGCGGACGGAATAACGGAAACCCCCCTTTGATCCTGCCATGAAGGTTAATTTCCTGTTAGTGGGTGACAACGCTCTGTGGCTGTCTCCCAATTGTGCTCCTGCGTTGTCACCCTGTCACAGGGACGTCTGATGGAGACTACGATCGGCCACTTTAACACAAGTGTGGCAGGCAAGGCCCACTGTTGTCACCATCAGGAAACCCGCCCTGGGAAGTGCCATGCAGACAGGAAGTGGCTGCAGGAGGTCACTGGGATGCCAAATGGGGAAGACATGAATGACATGGCAATTGATTGCCAGTGCGCTGGGTATCGGCCTCTTGAGTAGAGCTCAGACTGGGAGAGGCAGCTCTAGGAGACAGTCGGCTGTGCTCATATGCTAACAAGGAGCATTCTGATAGCAGGAGAGAGCAGAGTGATTACCTCATCAGTCTTCCGCTTCTCCTTTTTGCTGCTGGAAAGTCAAGACCCGTGTCCCATAAAGCCGCCCGGGGAGGGGCCAACCAAACGTCACCCAGTTCAGGTTTATACTGGTGTACCGATCGGCCATACTGCAGGGGATGTATGAGTCTGGCGTGCAGTTTGCTGTGTGACCACCAGGGGGGGCTCTCAGCACAGCATTCCCCCAGCCGACCTTCCCATTGCAGCTGTCAGCAGTCTGATACAGCGGAGAGCCACGTAACACATCCTCCCTGCACACCCAGGGCTGTCACTGCCCGCCGTGGAACTAACGGTCCCAGCAAGCCCTCAGGGTGTGGCTTAGAAGTCGCGGTGGCATGCTGGGACTTGTAGTTCTCTGCAGTCAGAAACATAAACACAATCAGAGGCATCCTGGGACTTGTAGTGGGGTAACAGCGTCTGGAAGGAATCCTGTGGGTAAGGACTAGTAGGGCATGCTGGGATTTGTAGTACCGCAGAGCATCCTGGGACTTGTAGTGGGGTAACAGTGTCTGGAGGGAATCCTGTGGGTAAGGACTAGTAGGGCATGCTGGGATTTGTAGTACCGCAGAGCATTCTGGGACTGGGACTTGCCGAGAGCTGGCCACTCCCTGTGTGCATCCTGTAGCTGCATAGCGGGATCAGATACCAGAGCGCACTCTGCCTACGAGGAAAATAAACCACTATGGGGCCCTGACGCGGTTAGGCGCACTCTGACGCTGTAAGCCAACGTGAGGCCAGGCTTCAGGTGACCTCTGACCCCCGTGACCGCTCCCCTTTATTATAAGTGACCGCTGTGTGCGACGGTACCCAGGCCACCGGCTGCATCTACCCAACTCATTGCTCTTTCCGCAGTGTTAGCATGACAGGTGCCCTTTGACCCCCCCCTAGCCGGCAGCGTGGTTGCCCCGTTGCATCATGGGAGTATGGAAGGGAAGTCCGGGGGAGGGGGGGATGTACTTCCTGTATTACTGCAGTATTGGTACCCAAATCAGCTTCTACACCAAAAAACCGTTTCCGTTGTGTGCGGTTCATGGCGCCGGCCGAGCGCAGGGAATGGCGAGAGGAGCGGAGCGCGCGATTGGCCGGCTGCCGTGCCGCTGTTGCTGTATAAATATTTATTGCTTTTTGTGCTTTTTCTATTCTCTGACTTGTGTACATTTCCGGAATCTTCCTTTTTTTTTGGGGTGCTATTAAATCGTTCAGATGACGGTATTTTGTCTCCGCGTGTCTGTTATTATGACCGGTGGGAAGTTCGCAGGACGCACGGTATCATGGGGCTTGTATAACCATTGTCGTGGCAACCGGCAGTGCCCGCCCCAGAGGAGCTAACGTCAGTACTGACTTTCTGAAAGTCGCCGTTTGCATAGGGAAAGTCACACCCCCCGCCCAGTCACACCCCCGCCCACCCATTGTCAGGTGCTGGGCTAATACACTGAGTCATGCTGGGCTAATACACTGAGGGCACTCAAGCATGGGTTGGGAGGAGGCGGGGCCAATATGCTTAGTAATGTTTATGAGGTCACTCAGGGGAGGGGCCGGTCAACACAATGAGGTAATTTAGGCACTACCCAGGGAAGGGCTTGGCCAACATGCTCAGTCCTGGCAATGAGGTCATTTATTTTTTGCAGACGCTGCTTGGGGGAGGGGCTGGCCAATACACTCAGTCCTGGAGATGAGGTTATGTGGGCACTGCTCAGGGGAGGGGCCACTGTTTAGGGGAGGGGTGGCCAATTTGCTCAGTCCTGGAGGTGAGTTTACATAGTCACTGCTCAGGGGAGGGGCTGGCCAATATGCTCAGTCCTGGAGATGAGATTACATAGGCACTGCTCAGGGGAGGGACTGGCCAATACTCAGTCCTGAGAATGAGGTCACATAGGCAACCTCAGGGGAGGGGCTGGCCAATACGCGCAGTCCTGGAGATGAGGATATGTGGTCACTGCTCAGGGGAGGGGCTGGCCAATACACTCATTCCTGGAGATGTGATTACATAGGCACTGCT